TTGACAGAATTAGTCTGCAATACTGCATTCTAAACACTGCGCCACCATGAAGGGCAAGAACTCACTTTGCAGGACTCCAAATAATAATAATAATAATAATAATAATAATAATAATAATAATAATAATAATAATAATAATAATATAATAAAGTTGGAAGGGACCTTAGAGGTCATCTAGTCCAACCCCCTGTTCAGGCAGGAAACCCTGCTCAAGCAGGAAACTTTGGGATTCTGAAATACACAGGGCACAGCTTCCCAACCAGTTCTCCTTCCTCTGAGCTAGATCCTCCCACCTGGCTCCATTCTATACCTGTGAAAGCCACATTCTTCATTCCACCCTTGCTGAAAAAATGGTACTGCACACCTTTTCATTCCCTCATGGCCAGATTTTGTGTGGCAAGCTTTTGTGCCAGTGGAAAAAAGACACAATGGTGACAAGATGGATTGTTTCTTCATTGGATCCTCTGCAAGGGGTAAAAAGGAATTGTTCAAAAAAGCTTCATCTGGATGCAATAGGTGTCTGGGTTAGTCAGGTTTAGGAAAGGAAATGTGGGAGATAATATGCCATTTAAACTCTAAGGTTTTGAGAGGGGACTTAGCTTTTCAAACAAAAGATCCTTTCTTTGCACACCGAGCTTCCGAAACTGAATAATTACTTTCCCATCCTATCTGTACAACCATTCAGGCTCTAAACAAACAAAGCCCATGTTGCTAACACCTTTACCACCAAACATCGTGCCAATTATCCAAAGGTTATCTCTCTCTCTGCAGTCATCTCTGCAGTATCTCTTAATAGCTGTGGCTGACACAGTGCAGAACATTATTGACAATTGGGCAAGGAAAAGGTTGGTCCTATTTTTTTTGTTGTTGTAATGGGACAACAGACGGCCAAAAACTTGGGGGCAGATTAATATCTTCCTGAAACATGACTGAGGTAAAGTGTCAGTGAAAATGATTTTGTGGACACTGCTATCCTTTATCCTCCTTTTCATCGTGTTTTGCAGCCCAAACAGACTCACAGGCAAGGCAAAATGATACAATAATTAGTGACAGAGCACACAATTAATGAGTAACAGTGTGTTCCAATGCTTTTTATAGTTGCTTTATAATGGTCAGAATCCGCATTTTCTTCAATACGCTTGTTAATCTCATCTATTAATACCTTTTGCATAGTACAGTTAGAAATAATCAGATCTGGCTGAAGATTTCTGGCTAAACCTGGGTCACCCAACCATCAGCTTGGTATTTGAGAAGGCAACAACTGCTAGTTGTACTGGAGGGTGGAGGGTGTTACGAAAGAGCAGGAACTTGGGCAAATAACTAAGGGGTTTTTTTAGCTTTGTTTTACCCTTATGGCTTTAGAGGATTTGGGGTTTTATCATGGTTTTGTGAACCACCTAAAGCAGCCTTTTGCATCCGAGGTTCTACTGAACCCTACAGTTATACAAGAGATCACGAACAAAAAAGCTCTCTTTTTAATTGCAAGGCTAGCACTCTAAGAGGTGGGAAAGTTTATACACCATACCTCAGCTTACCGAACATGCTCCCTGAAAATTGTTTCAAGAGTCCCGCCAATATAAACAAGTAGAGAAAAGATGATCGAGAGGAAGAGTGCCCAATCTTGGCAACTTTAAGACCCGTGGACTCAACTCCCAGAATTCCCCAGCCAACCACGCATCTAGAGTTTTATAATTTAATACTATGTAAATAAATATATTTGAAAACGTGGCACCGACTCAGGAACACAGGGTGCTTAAGCTTGTTTATGGGGCTATACAAGGTCCTGCCAAGTTGAAACAAGAACAGGGCATTGCTTTTAGTGCCAGCCCTGACAGTCGCTCTCTGCATTCACACGTTGAGGGACCCAGTTTGCAAAGGAATTGACCAGACGCCCAAATCCCTTGGCTCCTGAATAAGATACTTCTTTACAAATGACTGTGCTCAACATATGAATGATGAATACTATGAATGCCAAAAAAAGAAAAGGGGTATTGTAGCTCCCAGAGATCCAGAAACCAGGAGGTGCAAAGAAAGAGCTTAACAATTGAAAGCTTATCTCAGCCAACTTAAACCAACCAACTGTATAACAGAAAAGGAATGGTGGAAAATGAGAGAACTGTCACCCCGGTGAGATTTTATGGACTCCCCAAGATAAACAAACTAGGGGTCCCCCACACACCTATTGTAGCACTAAGGGATATTCCTACCTACAACTTGGCTAAATGGCTGGCACAATGATTAAACTTCCTGAATTCACCCTTAAATACCACAGTCACATCATCTGCATCATTTTTGACATAGCTATGAGGCTTAAACGTGGCTCCTTATGAGATCATGGTCTCATTTACATACCTCCATCCCCACTTAGCATACGAAGTGATAAACAGAAAACTAGAAGATTACAACACAGATCAAAATGATTTAACCAGGACACAAATCATGAATCTACTCCAATACTGTCAATGAAACTTCTTCATGTTTAAAAGGAAAATTAGCAAATAAAAGGGACACCCATGGGATCCCGAATATCAGGAGTCATTGCAGAAACAGTCCCATGTAAAGTAGAACACCATGTGTTTCAAAACACTTAACATTTGGTGCCACTACTACATGGATGACATATTTGTTGTCATCAAAGAAATGCTCTGGAAGACTTCCATACCCTACTAAACTCCATCTTCCCGGACATGCAATTCACAGTGGAGGAAGAAATGGCTAAACAATTGCCATTCTTAGACATGCTTATCAACAGATGGAAAGATTGAAGCCTAGAAACCATGGCATATTGCAAGGCTACCAACACTCCAGGCATTCTGAGTTTCAACCATTCACTGTCACATAAAAAGAGCTGCATTAGAACACAGTATGGCAAAACACACTGTAGTACCCAGCAAGAAAAACATCCTAGAGGGGTAGCTACCTATGTGAACAATTTAGACAGAATGGGTATTCACAAGTATTTATCACAAGATGCCTGTGCAATATACTGGGGAGAGAAAGGAAGAAAGAAGGCACAAGACCTATTACATGGCACACCCTGCCATATATTAAAAACATTTTCAGAAGCAGTAGAATCCAACTTTTGATATCTGCAAGTGGCCACCATCTAGTGGCTACAAAATGAGGACAAATCATGCACTACAGAGATTGTTTGAAACTGGAGAAACTTTGAATGTAATTTACCAGATTCCCCGCAAGGATTGCCCTATGACTATGTGGGACAGAGAGGAAGCTAATTACCAGATTGTGAGAACACCAGTGAGTGGTTAGATGAGAAGATCCAAATTCACTAATAGCCTCACATTGCCTGTATTCAATTTTGCAGCTACTACAATTGTTCTTCAAGCAGGGATAAAAATAGCCAGAGAAATCATTGAAGCCTGGGAAACAGGCCTTTGTCAGTCAATAGGATGCTGATTAACCACCAGCCTATCAGGTACTTAGAAGCCGAGGACATAGCATCATAAGGAAACAACAATTTAAGGATAGCCAGCCATCAACACTTCAATAAACAACTAAAAGCTACACACAACCAGGAACCATATAAATACAATGCATAGGACAACTCAGTGCACATATTGTGGAGAGAGAGAAATTCCCTGATGGGCTCCAGCACAAGCCTGAAAGCTTGGAAAAATAAACCTTTGGTCCCAGCGACCAACTCAAGTTGGATCCTGCAACAGTATCCTAGGGCACCTATATTTACCTTCGTTCATATTAATTCTTTCTCCTGCAATGAAACTATCAAGGATGGGAGAACTCTGGGCAAGAACTTCTGGTTCCCTCTGCTCCTCATAGTAAAAGAGAAATGAAGACAACAAAAAAGGCCCTTTTGATTCAGGGAAGTTAAAGTTCCCATTTCCATAACCTCTTGGGATTTTGATGACTGTTACTATAGAACCTGGCCTTCCCATCACTCTGGGAAATGGAGATGATAGCATGGCTGTCTAGTGCTTTGCTCTACAACAGTGTGCAATTTCGTGATGATTTTTCAAAAAACAAACACTTTTGGGTAAATCCTACAGTTGCTTGCCTTTCGTCTGCTGATTCAACCCCAAATATGCCACCACTCTCCTGCTTCTTATCACCAACTATGGGATTCTGAAGCTATTTTCATTTGGGTACCATGATTTGTCCAAGCAACGAATGCTTCATAGGATCCAAGGACCAAAACATGAATGCTAAACCAGCCATAATGGCAACTGCTGCAACTTTGTGAAATAGAAGCTGGCTGATGATGGCCTTTTTCCATGCTCAGCTTATACATCTGCCCCTAAATCCTTCTTTTCCTCCCATGTTCACTCATGTAATATAATATCATTCTTGTACTGTGAGAATGAGAGAACATGGAAAGCAGCTATTCCAAAAGACAGAAATCTAGTTCAGATGTCAACTAATTGCTGAGTCTGGATCACCAAAGGAAGAAACAGCACAAACCGAAATAAAAATGTTCTTCTCGGCTCACAGTGAAAACAGCTGCATGAATATAAATAATGTCCTTATGTGTAACTTCTTCAGCTTTGCTAGTAATCATATGAAACCATTCACTTCTGAAGCAAACTCTCAAGATGATAGAGTTGCTCAAAAGAGCTTCTATCCAATCAAAATAATGCTGCTAAAATAAAGAATGAATTCGCTGGGACAGCAAAACACTTTGATCCAAATGTAATATAAATGGGATCTTTTCTTTTTATGGGATCAAAACCACATTCTATTCTCCCCAAACTTGTCATTTTACAGTGACCACAGCCGCTTGTCTCATTAAAGAAAGTTTCAATGAGGACAGTAATAAATAATTTGTTTGCACAGGAGCTTTAGTTTTTTGGCAACACTCTGTGGATATTTAATAAATCAGTTTATCAGCAGTGACTTTAATTTCCTCATTAAACTGAGCATCGGACTCAAATTATTTTTTTTCCTTCCAGATTCTCACTAGAAAAAAAAATCTGCCTTATGAAAATAGGCCCTTCCTCCTAAAACCAAGGTACAGCATTACTTACCCTGTAGTAATCTGTGCTATATACATCTCTTGACATCCCAAAATCTCCAATCTTCACCAGCAGGTTTTCCCCAACCAGGCAGTTCCGAGTAGCAAGGTCACGATGCACAAAGTGCTGTGATGCTAAGTAAACCATACCAGCTGCAATCTGCTGGGCAATGTGCAGCATCTGGGATTGGGTTAGTTCAGCTAAAAGACTCCCTTCAGCCATCAGAACTGCATCAGGTCCATGCGCCCTGTGTGGAACACAAAAGAAATGTAGGAGATCTAATGACACTCAGGCGAAAACTAGGTGGTGCTTCTCAGAGGTAATTTCAGGAATAGACGCTTCATCTCTCTTGTTTCCCGAATGGTGCATATGGGAAAGGGGGCAAGGCTACCAAGTATTAGCTGGGGTTGTGGCTCTGGAACCTTTTCCTGTCTAGCTATACAGAGCGCAACTAATGAAGAACGGGAAAGCTATTAAAAGGTTCTGTTCTGAGAACCGGTTGTTAAATTATTTGAATCTCACCATTGTCTCAGAGTATGTCAGCAAACTTGGGTTTTTGCATCCTCTGCTCGTATACGTATCATTACTATGAAATGCTTGAAGCAGAGCTCTAAACAGAGGCTGCCTCCCTGGTAATTAACAGCAAACAACATTCAAAAGAAAAGAATGAGCTGCAATTGGTAAATAATGTTTTTTCCTGAAAACCGGTACTAATCTGATTTTTTGTCAGCACCATATCATAGTGAGCAATGGGGTTGCACTTAGAACCGCAGTGTTCCTTTAACCATCATGGCATTTACACTTACAGCCACTGATTTCTCTTAACCAGTGCAATAAAAAGCATCGTAAAATTGGCTTAGTTTTTTGACAACGGTTAGGACTTGTGACTGTGATAAACAGGTTCCATAATGGTCATAACTCAAAGACTATCTGTATCTTCTTTATTTACAGGACGAGGGGTGACATGATAGCAGTGTTCCAATATCTCAGGGGCTGCCACATAGAAGAGGGAGTCAAGCTATTTTCCAAAGCGCCTGAAGGCAGGACAAGAAGCAATGGATGGAAACTAATCAAGGACAGAAGCAACCTAGAACTAAGGAGAAACTTCCTGACAGAACAATTAACCAGTGGAACAACCTGCCTCCAGAAGCGATGAGTGCTCCAACACTGGAAGTTTTAAAGAAGAGACTGGACAGCCATTTGTCTGAAATGGTATAGGGTTTCCTGCTTGAGGAGGGGGTTGGACGATGACCTCCAAGGTCCCTTCCAACTTATTATTGTTGTTGTTGTTATATTGAAAATGAATTAACTTGATTTCTCAGTGAAGCACAAACAATTTTCCTTTTCCTGCTATTAAATCATCCACCCTACCCTGTTCTGAACATATTTTGTTATTTTTTTTAATAAGTCAATGCACCTTACTACTATTTCTACTTAATCTCGATCAAAAACATCTATAATATATTTCCCCAATCAAATATCTTTCTTTCCCTGCTTATGCAAGAATCACTCAACCCTGCATTTTATTTTTGTGCTACTTTTCAGGAACTTGTTCTGTTCCTTCTTCCTCAATATAATGTGAAACTTCAAAATGTGCCATATCATTACTGGATGATGCACTTGCTATTTCTGTTTCTGAGCTGTAGAGTTGCGAATCAACTCTTTTCAGATGGTAGAAGCACAGATCAAGGTTGCTGAAATTAAAGGCCATGAAGTACATGCACTTCAGAACCACTCCATTCTTTGAAGCTCAAAGAACACTGCGCTGAAAATCACATACAGTCATATTCTTGCCCGTGACCAAATATCTGGAGTGTAAAAAACTTCTGAGGGGCTAAAATACTACCAGCTTTTAACAGGGTTCTGTGACCTAGTCATGTTGTCCTTCTGCCCCATTCTTATCCCTCCCCCCAAAAGTCAAGTCTATCTATCTCAATTCAATATAATTTTCTACAATCATATATCAAGACTATCTAAGGTAATACAAGAATGAGAACCCACTCCTATATCCTCTGGCTGCCATGACAAACTCAGTCAGTTTAGAATAACCCCAAAGATATGAACTCTGATTGTGTTGCTTCTAGAGTTTCTGTAGACAATTATGCATAGCCTGGAGTTGGTGTTTTTTGGGTGTGTTTTTTTAGTTGCATTCTCTAATCACTGCTTCAACTCCTCTTGAAGTGGATTTACTTTTGTCAGCCTTTGCTCCTGAAACATTTCAAATATTGCACTGCCTAAATTTCACATTCAGGAATCCTTTTTGATCTTCAGATCCTGGCCTGAATTGTCTGCCTGTCTGTCTGTCTCTGTTTGAGTTGTGTGTATGTGTGTGTCTGCCTACAAATTGTGAGATCATTTTTTCTCTCGATGGCCTTGGGGGGCGCTGCAGGGTAAGAAATAAATGTGCTTCCAAAGCATGATTACATGCAGATTTTCTCTCCTATCATAATTAGTGTCAAATGAGAGAAGAATGCTAAATTTCAATTTTGCTTAAGAGAGTATCTTTTTCACT